ACTTCTCTGTGAGGAATATTTCACTTTGCGCCTATTTTTGGGAAGGTATAATTCAATTACAGAAGATGCTATTTACGCTCGTACGATCTATAGCGTAGAATTTGCTGATTATCTTTGGGGATTACCTCAACTGGTTCCAACTTATCCATACCTCGAAAGCTCGGCTGCATTGGTTTGCTTAATCAGAGTTGGTTATTGAGATTTCAAATGTATATCTTAGAGAGAATACTTACGAGAAGTTTACAAGATCGTAACGATATCAGGAGCCTAAGAAGCAATAAGAATATACTTTTAAAAGAATAAGAATGGATTTATTTTGCACTGTAGGAATTTTTCAATTGTTCTATGCCAAGAAGGATTTGCTCTACATTCAACACAAATGTTCTTTCAAAATTAGGAGACTTGTAGTTGTAGGAGAAATCAGGACGAGTCTTTGGCAATGGTATTAATAGGTTTATCGATTCGGTGGATTTGAAACTGTATGTTATTTTTGAGAAATCACTTTCCTGCTGTTAATTTTTGAAAGTTTAGGACACTTCTGAAAAAAAAAAAAAAAACTAAAACTTATTCTGTGAAGTTTAGAAATAATGTAAATGACTCTTGTCTTCTGGAGGAAAATGAAATACAGTGTTATCGCCGATATCTTAGTAACGATAGATTTTATCAAGAGCTATTGATTGACAAAGATCGTGTTGTCAGATCATGCATTCGCAGGTGAAAAAATTTCATTCGCTAATTTGTTACATCCTAATATGAAAACGCGAGCATGACTTTCTTATGACCATTTCCATAGAACTGAAAGTTTTTGATTGGTATGTTAAACAAAAGAAGACAATTAAGATGGTATTATTAGCATATGGCTTAACAAACAAATTATTGATTCTAAGTCTACGCTAACTTCGAATCAACTCATTCCTTTGTATAAATCAGCAGTATTTTGTTTTGAAAATGATCAGCTTATCCTGTTCATCCTTTGCATTTCAATTTTAACTTTCAAAATATTGAAAGTTAATTGATGAAATTTATTATGCGATTTAAGAACCGGAAGTACTACAGAAATGAAAAAATTAATTAGATCTCAAGTCATAACAAACATTTTTCTTAGTGTTCGTTTGCAAACACAATGTCACTCAACAGATGCTTCTCGGCTTCGGGCTTGCCTTTGTAGTGCTCGCGAGGAGTTTGAGAATCGTATCCAAGCTTCTATGTTACAATGTGTTCGACAAAGTCATACGGACCATTTATATCGCGAACGTCAACAACCACAGCGGCAGTGGTATGAGCAACAAAATGAACACTTCAATAAGCCTATTCTAAGTACCGGTAAGAAAGATCATTAAATCATGCAGCATAATTTCTAACAAGTGTTTCTTGAAACTTTGCTCCATACCTGCTGAAAGACGATAAAATGAGAGTCTAAACTTACACAACACGTGTCCCACTATTTTGATGTTCTTAATTTTAGAAGTTACTACTGTTTTACTATAATCTAAGAAACTCTAACTCCCAATTATTCTAGCACTATTTGTCACTATAATGTAGGCTGCATACTTTCTAAAAACAAGCAGATCCTCTCTCTAGAATTCTGGTGTCAAGAATTTCTGGCATCGTCTTGAACAAAAACAGTCTGTGACAACATTATCTTTGACATTTTTTTTTTTTTTGCAGTACTACAAAATAAGGTGGTCAGCGGAACATTTGTTGAGATGTAATTTTGAAATTACTATCATCATTGTTAGACATTAATTATACATTACTGGCTACATATGGACTGCTTACAGGAGGATTTATAAACAATGATTTACAACAGAAAAGTCAGGTGTACCTCAGAAGATTGCATTAAAAGTGCTGAACAATTTTAACAGTCTTCTAAGAGGTATTAAAAATAGGTAATTCAGCACCTTCCCACCTTATATGAATTTTAAGATCTTATGTTTTCGAGTTTCCTATGATATTCAGGAACAATACGGAACGACCAATGTCTCTGCACTTGTCCATATAACTGTGTGAATTTTATGGATCAGGAAATACTAAAGCGACAAATGCAAACAGATCCCATAAACGGTCTACAAACGGAAAGTCAGGAACAAATGGTATGCAAGGAAAGATTTTTTCTGAAAAGTAGTTCAGATAGCAAACAACATTAGTACTAAAGTGAATAATGTGCCTCAACATACTTCAAATTTATATATAAACTTATACACGTGTAAATTATATAATAATTAGGATTTCAAAAAGCGGAGCGACGACAATGGTAACATCTCTTTGAATATGATGTCAAAGATATGACTAAGTTTTTGGACAAATAATTGTCCATTTTAAATCTTTGTGTTGATAACAACATTTCTCTGTACTAAAAAAAGATAAGGAAAAATTTGCACGTGGAAAAAAAAAAAATATCATTCTTTTTACAGGGTTATTATTGTAAGAATGGTAAAATCATATTAATTAAAAAGAACTACCTCATATTTCTTAATTCCATTTTCGGGTATTTTTTAGCGGATGCATTCACAACGCCGAAGCTATTGGAACTATTTTGACAACTATGTATTAAAGTTGAAGAAACGACGACGATGGTAGCTGATAAGGAAATGAATCCGATTTTAGACTTTCATATCAAAAATTCTTGAATTTTTAAATATTAGATATTCCTTTTTTTATACAAAAATTAGCTGGATGAGATAGATAGAGGAACCTATGTTTTTCTCCTAGGAAGTTTATATAAATCACGCTCTAAAAAATAAGATCTATCATTTGCATACAACGTAAATTTAAAGAATATGTTTTGTAAATGTAATGTTGGAACACAGAGAAATCATAATTCAGGTTGATAAGTGCTTCTATTATATTTCATTAGAATTTGGTGGATCTAAAAACGCAGCTTTAAAATTTAGTCCAGAATAAAGGAATTTTGAAATGTTGCACACGCTGACACTAAAAATGCAGAAGTGAAGACCTTATCTCATTTTGTTCTTGCTTCGAGACGGAATCGTATTCGGGAATTCCAAAAAGGTTGGGTCACTAAATAAACGGAATCCACGTACTGCCTTGCTGTTTTGGAAACGTATGATTATTGTTTTGGAAACAAACAACTGCTGTCAAGTAAAGTCAGACCTACACCGGGATGATATAGCCCTAAAAATAAAAATCTCAAGCTTGGAAAACGGCATTGCAGGTTGATATATTTCAAATTAACTACAACCAAGCTACTGAAATGACTTTTAAATAAAATACTATCAAAAAAAGACATAGTCTTGGTTGAACAAAAATTAGTGGAATTTCACAACGAAATCCCAAATGCAAATTCTTGCATTATTTTATACTTTTCCTTATATTTTCGCTCTTCATTAATTAATATCATTAGCCAAAATAGAAAAATATGAAAGTGCCTTTGTAGGTTATTGACATATACGTAGTATACCAGTAAGCAAGAACAAAAGATGCGAGAATTTCGGAAAATAAAACTTGTCATCTCCAACTTCTATAAGCTCTAATAATTGTTCTCTGTTAAAGCGTACTCGTTCTTATCGCTAAAGAACTCTGCAAATTCTGTTTTCACTTTCCTGCTTCTGTGTTCAGGCAATTAAAAATAAAAATTAATGGTAAATTTATATGAAAATGAGCAATACAAAATGTAATCTTGTGCATAAGACACCAAGCAAAAGCAGAAACACATGGAAAAAAGCAGAAACCTCGAAAAAAAACTAAACCAAAACGTTATTAGATGAAGAAAAAGAAATAAAGAACCTCAGAGATATAGTAGACATCACATAGATTTTGCAATACAAAATAATTTTTTAGTCTCCTCTATACAACAGAGACATTCTTATGTTCATGTCCAAACTCAGTTAAACTAATTTTAAGCCAATTTAGTTTGGGCAACAAAATCACCAAGCGATAAGGAGAAATGCATATAAACGACCACAAAAGCATAGTAATGAATATAATAAATATAATAATGAATATATTTAAATGATTCCGGAACCAACAATAATGATACATAACGTTTTAGTTAAATAAGATAAATAAAACAAACAGAATTTTTTTTGAAGCAATCAATCATAGAATATGAACAAGGTTGAACTGCTATACAAGCAATCAAATTTTCATTTAAGGAACATGACAGCAGAATTAGTTAGTTCCAAGGTAAAAAATGAAGATTCCCATCACAAAACTTTCTACCTGAATTTCCCGGATTTCGGGTTTTCTAGAACTTTTGATTGCTGCTATGGAAATTGAAAAATGGTTTTGACGTCTATAAGAATGGATAAAAAGAAGCCTGAAGAAAAATGAAATCAATCTCAAACTCAAATATACGAAATTTAGGTGGACAGACAAAATTCTTCATTCTGCATCGCTACGGTTGATGATGTCTTTTGAAGCTTAAGTGGAACTAAGCTGTAATACAGTTTGTTGTGCTGGTGGAGCTACTACTGTATTACTACCATACCTGTGTTGCTGCTGGTGGCGGTGCAACCATTAAACAGGCCTACAGTAATGTGTCTAATGCGCTACAATTAACCGAATACAAGTGCGATGTATACGATACTTAATTTGCTTACAGAAAAAGAATAATCTAAATTGTAATGGGAAAACAGCAACATGATTCGTAGCTTTATCTTTTTTCGATTCCTTTGAAAGCAAATTCCCACTTTTTATAAAAAAAAAAAGGGCAAAAATAACAGCAAATATTTTTAAATCCCCCTTCGAAACAATAGAACGTCAAAATATCACGCAGTAAGCCATTATGATCTGGAAAAGCTATGCATAAATCAGCTAAAATCATAATAATTTATAAAAAAGAGGATACTTGCATCGGTGCGTGCTAAGATTTGCAACACAACGATGCAGTAAGTGAGCATCCAGAAAAACAAACCATATATCAAAAATACTTCAAAGTTGAAAATATTCTTTCATGTTCTCACTTTTCCTCTCCATTTTCTTACGTAACAGCAGCTAGTAAGAATAACCAAAAAATAATAAATTTTTTGTTAAAAAAATCACCCAGAAAGTTCTCGTTGTAAATCAGCCATATGCTGGTGTGCAAGAGCATAAAATGACATCTGAGATTCGACGAAATCACGTAAACACTTCAAATGGTTGTTCTGAAAACCGCAAAGAGTATGAAAACAAATGAGTTTGTACTTGCACTTCCTAAAAAACCGAATTTGAATATTCCGCAATTGAGACATTTACCAAAATATTCAGTCTTCCAATAAAATCGTAAAAATTTGCTTGACAAAAATTCTAACGTGAAAAAAAAAACATATTTACGTGAGCGGTTTGTATTCCTTCAAGGAGTAGTTTTGTAATTTCTGCCTGTTTATCGAATTCCGCTTGTACCACACGTAAATCAGCTTCTGCCTGTACATAATACAGATTATTATCTTGACAAAAATGATGCGTGCAATAGCAATGCAATTCAGCAACCAGAAAAACTGAACATAAATCACATATGTCTCACAGTCACAAAAAAACCATTATCTTAATAGACAGAATACATACATCATGTTCCTTACCATATGCATGAGTAAGATTATCTGATATATGCCAACCCAAGCAATCAAACTACTTCACAAAATTCAGCTACAAATAGTTTATAAAATATGTACTACCAAAACAAATCTCTTTCAAAGACTCTATCGATATGAAGTTATACAGTGATATTATTCCTGCTAATCAGACCATTATGGCTTTATTTTATACTCCATCTTTTTATACATGAATTAAATGACATATTGGATCTTTTTTTCGTCATTTCAATTAAACGATATATTGGATCCATTTTCTAACGTAATTTTGCGTCATTATTTCATGAAATACTAACACAACAAAAATCTCCACCATAATTCCAAATACATTTAAAAACCATTGCATACAGTAAAAAAAAAAAAAAAAAAAACAGAAAGACCAGAAAAAAAAAATAAACCTGTTCCGACGAGAAAGAACTTCCTAACTGTAAAAAAGTAAACATAAAATAACAATTATTAAGATACAATATTAGAAGGATAAGATCTGATTCAAATTCTTTCTGCTTCTAATTGTAAATTACCGTCACAGAATTTAGATCAAAGACTGCCAGTGTTTAATTTAAATATAAGCACGTTCACTACCAAAAATAATTTTCTTTTGAAATCACTACATAGTAAATTTTTTCTTAAAAATATATAACAGAAGTACAATCTGTAAAATCTACAAAAAATGAGCACTAGTGAAGAGTGCAAAACTTACATTGCCCTGTGCTTCTACTGACTTCGCTTTCCTTAGTCGGCTTTTGGCCGCATCCAGATCCAAGCGCTTTGTATTTAGAACTTTTCGTTCACGCTGTAAAAATTAAGTTTGAAAGGTAAACGAAATACCATGAACTTTTTGAAAACATTAGTCAAAACAACTTACTTATGCAAACTTGATATGAAAAAATCTTAATAGTTTACGTTATATTACACAAAGTTTATCTAATGAGAACGCGAGCATGAGACTTTCAAAAGCACCTGAATAGTTTTCATGTCACCCTCCAGGAACCGTCGTACCGGCAAAAGCGTATTGGTTGCACAACTGTTGATAAAGTCCCTTTCTCCCGCACCCAGTTTGAATTCTGCTTGAGCTATCTTCAACAACGCACTTCCTAAAAAATTGTAGAATTATGAAATCAGTGTGCGCATCGCTAAAATCTGCATTGAATTCATCACGTATTTCAAAACGAGACAGTTCTGTGCAAAGAATAAGGTTAAGAAATATTACGAACCCAGAAATATAAAAATGATAAATTCCCACAAGCTTGTTCACATTTCTACTGTTTTCCAACGCTTTCAAATTTCTCCCACTACTAAGTGAATGTGCAGAACTCACTAACACAAAAAATAAATCTCAAATGATGCAATTCAGCGATCCAAGATTTTCAGTGACGACCAATATGAAAGAATATAAAAACATCAGCTTCGCAACTTAAATCATATGTGGCACGAATAATAAATGTATTCAAAGAAATTATACATCTGTTTATGAATTCAAAAACAAAATGAACAAATTTAAACTTGATAGCAAATCGATGTTGCTTTCTGAATGAGTTTACAGGTTGTTTGGTCATGAATTTTGAATTTAATAAAACTTTACCGTATGGAGTGCCTGCCCCGAACTCGTTACCAGCATCGTTCATTGCTTGTGCCAACTGCTCCAAATTATTTAGACGACTTTCTTTGCGCAGTTCCAGTTTCTCGTAAAACACTTCTTCCATCCGAACTGCTGGAATGCTGTTAATATGAAAGTCTGCCACAACAAAGGAGTTTGCATATTCGTCGATAAAAAAGATTCTATATTAAAAGATTCAAAACCACCAACGCATAACTGATAATATGTCGATCCCTAAGTAAGTAAAATACAAATTTTAGGCTAAGGAGATTCCAAAAGATTACTAGGGTTTGGCTGAAGATAACTTTCCATGGCAGAAAGCAATCGTTTCGTGTGCTCCTCTGTTTTATCTGCTCTTTGTAGCAAATTCTCGAAGTGTGCATCAAGCTCTGTCTTCTCAGCTTTCAGAAAAGTTTCTTCTGTCAACTACAATCAAAAAAGTCCATTGCAAACAGCATAAAAAACGATGTAGTTAACTAAGAACAGAATAATACTTTGTGGTCCAGGATCACCCACTTCTCGTGCTTATTATGCTATACCCAACCCAGCTTAGCCTTTATCCTGGAAATATTTTTAGAAAATATTAGTACATTAATCCAGGAAAATAAAAATTCTTCATATAACTACTGACTAAACTGTGGCTGCTGAATCCTAGTATGTTACAGAAACTTTAAATTTATCAAGTTCTTTTAGGAATTAAATTTTAATGTGGAAAATACTTACTACCCCAAGGAATACATATTTTTTATGTCATATAAACTATCCACCTGTTTAGCGCGACTGAAGAAGCCGCTGGCATCACTTGCAATTTTCTTAAAGTTGAAATCCATCGAGTATGAGGCACTGAACCTTAAAAAAAAAAAATTACAATCTTAATTGTGAATTATCTTTATGCATCATCAGTACAGTCACTTTCCCTTTCCTCTTGCAACTTTTAGTCTCATCAGTTTTGCAACTAATTCCCTCTCTCTCTCTCTCTCTCTCTCCTTTTCGATTCTTCTATCCAGGAACAAATTAACATCTTGTTCACATCCATAAATGCAACTCCCCTAACATCACCATTCCTGGGTCTACGCCCAGACCCCGTATAAAACAGTTCATCCTCCATCCCGAAACTCAAAAACCCACCCTACGTGCCAGACTGCCACCTGTGCAGCTTCTGCGCTCAAGAGGAACCAGCAACTCACCCCTCCACTCGGATCTATTTGTGTTTCGGTGCCCAGACATAGCCGCTATGAAATAAGCTGGTCCCATGGAAAGAAACAAATCTATTGTGACCGCTAAAAGGATAAGATCCCTCGAAATTTAGCAAATCAAGTAGCATTTTATGCCTTTAACTATAGATTTCTTATAAGATTTAAACTGAGACTTATTGCTAGGATATGAAGAATAAAAAAAGTTGCCAATGCTGTGTAACGAGGAAAGAATGAAGAAAATGATTACATAAATGATGAACTTATTGTTTTCTACCTATCCTTTTAATGAAATGACATCTGGTTGACAACCACTGGCAACCACTAGCATATGTCTTTTATCAAGAAGTAAAAATCAAATTATATGTCTTTCAGACCAATACAAAATTAGTCAGCGATTTTAAAAACGGATCCATAAATCAAAGTTCCTGGAATTTGCATATTTATTTTTCGCCCCATCTCGGCATAATATAGACACAATCCATGTCTTGAAGCCAAGATTCTTTTTCGATTTCTCTTTCGAATACATAAATTGGCTTTTACCTGCAAGATTCATCAGATAATTTCAATGCAGTGACAGCAATATCAGTGCTGAGGGAGATAACATATAACGAGTAGTGCTTGTTCTTGATGGTTTATCGATAGATTATAATGATAATTGCCATTGGTGTAAGCATACCAAATGGCAGCTTTAATAATTCCATAAAGTATGTATCGATTTGAATTACAGTAGATAATAAGGAGAACGGAGGAACTGAATGACAAAAATGAGCAAGAAAGAGATGGGTTTCGAACATTTCTATTTCGTAACCTTATCAACACTGCTTAAAAACCACAAACATAAATGTGCAACATAAATACTACGTAAACATAGATGATGAAGTGAATGTTTATCGATATGTTATCTGGTGGTTTACATATGGATGAGACCAAAATAAGGAGGCAAGTGGTGAAGTAAGCGCTTTACTCATAGAAGTAAAGTAACAAGCCTAGATGGAGTAGACTGCCACGATAATTCAGAACAACAACGAGAATAATTAGGAGGATAACTACTTGCTCATTACTAAAACATGAAGAACACAGGTATGAAATACGTACTTGAAATTTATAGTTATAATGAATGTCGCGTAGTACATAGAAAGAATGAGGAATTGAAGTTAAAATGATCAAAATGTTTGAAAGTAGGTTTTAGTCAGTTTTTTTTTGTTTATAACTTAAAAGACTATACATATGAAATGTAGGTTATATATAATTTGAAAAGCACTCTCGAAAAAATATTATTTTAAGTTGGAAATTATAAGAGGTCATCGGAAATAGTATGCTCATAATTGCAATTCAAAATGAATGAATTTCTTCCCTAAGAATTCGCTCTGATTATTGAGAAAAACAAATGTGATAAACTGTGTTAATAGTAATAGAAATGAATTGTTATAAGGAAAAAAAGAAACAAAAACAGTGATCTTTGTTAAATATGTGTACAAACAAATCAGAAAGATAAGCTAAATCAAGCAGTGCAGAAATGTTACGAAGATCCTTCAACAACATCCAGCTGTGATGCACTTAACCTCCTGGTTCACCCTTAACAAACATCATCCCCCAAATTAATCCATACCACACCACACCAACATCAAATTTATCCACAATCACAAACAAAACTTGCCCTCATTCCTGGGAAGGCAGCCAAAAATGTAATAAAAAAAACACACACACTCAAAATGAAAGATAAGCAGAACAATTTTCCTATTTCAATATGTTGTTGGTTTAGCTTTGCATGCTGTCATTTAAAATGTGTCCTTTTTGCCTGCAATTGATAATTTCAGGCCTAATTCAAAAAGTGAGCAGTGAGAAATCCTAATGAACTTTAAAAATAACAGTCTAAATGTTAGGTACTAACAATGATATATATATATATAATGCATCTGATTGATATCATAGAAATCAATTTAGTCACAAATATATATATATATATATTTACTTTAACAAATGCAAGTAGGTTTTAGCCAGTTTTTTTAAGCCTCAAGAGTTACCCTATTAATTTTGGCTGAAGAAATGTGTATGCAATTTTATAGTACTAAGAAGAGAAAGATTAAAAGAAGAAGACATCAAGGAGGCTGTGTAACTAAATGTGAATTGTATCCTTATCTAAGTAATGTTTTTGTCTCTCAATAATCCAACATTTGTTATCTCAGATGACTTCAGTAATCCATTACTTCTTGCTTAAAGTGATTCCAAATAAGTCAATTTTCAGCTAGAGGAAGTAATTGCGCTTATAAATGATGCAATGTATAATTTTCTTTATGGTTGCTATTAGCAACGAAATTTTGGCAAATGTTTGATTTCAGTTTATAGCGAATCAAAAGTGACAATGTAACTTTGCTCGAATTTATTAAATTGGACTCTGTATGAACTTTAATCGATTCCTTTGATTCATGAATTTTTCACTCAAAATAACTTTACAGAGAAACGTTAAAATGCGATTGAAGGTGACGATGGCGCGAGAGCCAAAACATTCTGATTCGGTGTTAGCAGTCGCGTGGGCGAGAAGTGACGAACTGGTCAGTGTTGGAGACGATCAGCAGGTGTTAAAATGGAACTTAGTGAATAGCGATGTTCAGGTGTTAATGCACTTACCCAGGTTTGAATGATATTATTTGTCTTGCTAATTTCTATAGTACTAATGTTATTTTGACACTAACTGTGAAAAATAGCAAAATTTGAGTATGGAAATTTGCTAAATTTTTTGATCAGAAACTAGAAAATATTGAGAAATTTCAGTTCTTTGTATCCGACAGGTATGCAGTGGTTTCCACACGATGGCTTCAAACAACAATTGAACGATGTATTTGCTCTGACATCCACGGAAGGTTCCATGTGTTTCCATAATGTATTTTTATTTTTGAAAGACTAGTTTTTTTAGATAACAGCAGAACTTCCAAAGAATGTTATATAAATGTTTTTCGAGAGTAAGCCTAATGATGCTCATTCAGTATCTTTGAAGTCGATTGCAAATTTTAGGCAAATTTTATATTTGCAATCGAAACGGACGCATTGAAAAAGCTATAGAAGCTCACAAAGGGGCAGTTTTATCCGGTCGCTGGAGCCACGATGGTTCTACTTTTGCCACTTGTCGGTTTCTTCTAATAAACTTGTTAAAAAGTTGATTTTGGACAAAAGTGCTAATTCAGTTCTTTAAAAAAATAGTTTTACCTTTTATTTATTTTGATATCAAATGTCAATTGCAGTATGAACAAGGAATTTCCCTCAAACTCCGATCTGTATTTTGATACTTAGTTCGGAATTGGGAGGGCCAATAACGATATAAATGCAAAGAATTTGATATTGAGGTGGAGAAGATGGTGCGGTGAAGATGTGGTCTCGAAATGGTATGCTCCGAAGTGTCTTGTTGGAGAATGGTTGTCCTGTGTACGGGATTTGCTGGAACAGCGATGATTCATGCATTGCTTTTTGTTGTGGTGAAAACTGTTCCACCAAAGTTCTCAAGTCGCAGGTGATCGTCGAATTTCAACATTTTGTTTTTTAATTCATCTACGAGTTTGCTTTAGACAAAGGTGTTGATTGTAAAGTATTCACTACAGTCGTATTTGAAATCAAAGCTGATTACAACTATTGCAATCAGGTAGGAGCGGAACAACAACCGAACTTTGAATTTTATTATTGGCTCTCGATAATTTCACTTCAGTTGTGATGAATTATTAAGTTCAATTAAGCTTGCTGAATAGTTCTAGTCTAGCCAGAGGTTTTGCATGCATATGGGACGAATCTTTCTCTCAGCTAATTCAATAATAAAACTTCCCTTCTTTTCATAGTGTAACTGAGTTATGCTGGTTTTGAATAGTTCCACCAGTTCCCTCATTTCTGTGCAAGCTTCAGATATCGCTTATTAGATGGAAGGCTCATGATGGTATAGTACTATGCATTGACTGGAACGCCAGTACAAATCTTCTAGTGAGCGGTGGGGAAGACTGCAAATATAAGGTGGCCTTTTGTGTACTTCAACCACACAAAAATTATCTGCAAAAATGGATAGATTACCAATTTCTGCTCTCCTAACAACCAATTTTATTTGTCCAACATTTGGCCGAGTGGCACTCGCTAAATGTGGCTTTTTCATCCAAATAAATGATTGTAGTATAGGTATGGGACGAGTATGGACGTCCAATATACTGTAGTAATCCACAAGACTATCCAATCACATCAATCGCATGGAATGTTGACGGTGATCTGTTTGCTGTTGGATCTTTCAACCTTCTTAGATTATGCGATAAAGCTGGAGTAGGTTCTTTTGAACTGGAAAAACCAATAAACTTCTAGTTTACATCTTGCTGTTTTCCAGAAAGATTATCCTATTTAATGTCGTTCAGCTTTTTTCACTATGATGATATCAGAATTGATTTCTGATGTTTGTATTTAATTCTTAAATATTGCAGTGGTCTCATTCATTAGAGAAATTATCTACAGGAAGCATTTACAATATTAGCTGGTCACCAGATAGCACTCAACTAGCTGGTGCATGCTCCGATGGAAGCGTCTTGCATGCTTATTTAGTCGAGAAGTAATTATATCAAGATTTTTCTAAAATTTTTGCACAACATATCTTTTTTTACATTTCTTCTAGA